GGCAGACTGCGGCCCTGTGGGCAGTGCCACCACCTTCACCAACCCTTTGTTGCCGCTCATGTCCGAGCAGTTCAAGGCCAAGTTTCCTTTTGGGGGACTCCTGGACTCAGCCCAGGCATCAGAGACATCCAAGCTTCAGCAACTGGTAGAAAACATTGACAAGAAGGCCACTGACCCCAATGAGTGCATCATCTGCCACCGGGTTCTCAGCTGCCAGAGCGCCTTGAAAATGCACTACAGGACACACACTGGGGAGAGGCCCTTTAAGTGTAAGATCTGTGGCCGGGCTTTCACCACGAAAGGGAATCTTAAAACCCACTACAGTGTCCATCGTGCTATGCCCCCACTCAGAGTCCAGCATTCCTGCCCCATCTGCCAGAAGAAGTTCACGAATGCTGTGGTCCTACAGCAGCACATCCGAATGCATATGGGAGGCCAGATCCCCAACACCCCAGTCCCCGACAGCTACCCCGAGTCCATGGAGTCTGACACAGGCTCCTTCGATGAGAAAAATTTTGATGACCTAGACAACTTCTCTGATGAAAACATGGAAGACTGTCCTGAGGGCAGCATCCCCGATACGCCCAAGTCTGCAGACGCCTCCCAAGACAGCTTATCTTCTTCGCCTTTGCCCCTAGAGATGTCGAGCATCGCTGCTTTGGAAAATCAGATGAAGATGATCAATGCCGGCCTGGCAGAGCAGCTGCAGGCCAGCCTGAAGTCGGTGGAGAATGGGTCCGTCGAGGGGGATGTGCTGACCAATGATTCATCCTCAGTGGGTGGTGACATGGAGAGCCAAAGTGCCGGCAGCCCAGCCATCTCAGAGTCTACCTCTTCCATGCAGGCTCTGTCCCCGTCCAACAGCACCCAGGAGTTCCACAAGTCACCCAGCGTTGAGGAGAAACCACAGAGAGCGGTCCCAAGTGAGTTTGCCAATGGTCTGTCTCCCACCCCAGTGAATGGTGGGGCTTTGGATTTGACGTCGAGTCACGCAGAGAAAATCATCAAAGAAGATTCTTTGGGGATCCTCTTCCCTTTCAGAGACCGGGGTAAATTTAAAAACACTGCTTGCGACATTTGTGGCAAAACATTTGCTTGTCAGAGTGCCTTGGACATTCACTATAGAAGTCATACCAAAGAGAGACCATTTATTTGCACAGTTTGCAATCGTGGCTTTTCCACAAAGGGTAATTTGAAGCAGCACATGTTGACACATCAGATGCGAGATCTGCCATCCCAGCTCTTTGAGCCCAGTTCCAACCTTGGCCCCAATCAGAACTCGGCGGTGATTCCCGCCAGCTCGTTGTCATCTCTCATCAAAACAGAGGTCAACGGCTTCGTGCATGTTTCTCCTCAGGACAGTAAGGACACCCCCACCAGTCATGTCCCTTCTGGGCCTCTGTCTTCCTCTGCCACATCCCCAGTTCTGCTCCCGGCTCTGCCCAGGAGAACTCCCAAGCAGCACTACTGCAACACGTGTGGCAAAACCTTTTCCTCGTCGAGTGCCCTGCAGATTCACGAGAGAACTCACACTGGAGAGAAACCCTTTGCTTGCACTATTTGTGGAAGAGCTTTCACGACTAAAGGCAATCTTAAGGTACCTTGCGCTGTCTGCACCCCACCCGCTCCCTCAACCCTGTCCTACTGTCATTGGTTATTTATAATGCATGCCCCCAGAGTCATCAGCCCAGATATTCAGGGCGAGAGCTCTTGCAAGGGAACCTGCTGCACATGGTGGATGGGGGAGAAACAAGGGTGCCTGGGGGGGTCAGGATCATGGCAGGGACAAGGGCAGACTGCGGCGCACTGAATGTCAGTGCAGATTGAATAATTTGGTACCTAAGCGAAGCAGCGGCCTCTCTCTGTTGTCTCGCTAAGTGCACCAAATGAATTGCTTTACCTACCAAGGAAGACAGCCTGGTGTTGCCATGGGGTATTGATTAAAGACCTCCATGTGGCCTGTGTGCTGCCCGTATCACTTAATAATTATGGCTCTCAGCGTATGCATCTATTTTTCATAACTGCAGTCCAGCATGGTTTGTTTGTCTAAAAATAATAACGTCACTGCTCTGCTAATGGGTATTATGATAATTGATTATACAGCATTTCCTACTGATATGGAAATAAAGCAAATATACTTAAGTTCTAGAGCAACAGTTGAGTGCTCTTAGTGTGTACATTTTTCTGTTGACAGAGTATTTCTCTGGAGATTGCTCCCAGTAATGTGAGATGAATAATTACTTTCTGGCTTTTCTCTCCATATGCAGGCCCTCCAATGGGCAATCAGGGAGGGATACCTTCTTCCCATCTGAAAAGGACATTTATAGGGTAAAGGGTGTCAGATACAATACTTACCATTGCAATGAGAGTGGACATAACAATTCTAACCTTGAAAGGAGCTATCCGCCACTGCCTGGCTTGCTTGAGGCCATTATAAGCTAAATATGGGTAATAAAAAAGAAGTAAGTAAGGCATCTTTGCCCAGGAAGAGGGGAGACAGCCTAGGGCTGCAGAGAGTGAACACGTTATTACTAGACAGAAGGAATGGATGGTTCCTGTTGCCTTCCCTGTCTGTCACATGATGAGAATAGACATTTAGGCCACTTGCTTTGTGGACATTTGGGATATGAATCGAGACAGATTCAGCTATTAAGCTTCTCTCCCCCTCCTCTTTTCCTCCCCACCTCTGCCTGCCCTCCCCGTATCTCAGGTACACATGGGCACTCACATGTGGAATAGCACCCCTGCACGACGGGGTCGGCGGCTCTCTGTGGATGGCCCCATGACATTTCTAGGAGGCAATCCCGTCAAGTTCCCAGAAATGTTCCAGAAGGATTTGGCGGCAAGAACAGGAAGTGGAGATCCTTCCAGCTTCTGGAATCAGTATGCAGCAGCGCTCTCCAACGGGCTGGCGATGAAGGCCAACGAGATCTCCGTCATTCAGAACGGTGGCATCCCTCCAATTCCTGGAAGCCTCGGCAGTGGGAACAGCTCACCTATTAGTGGGCTGACAGGAAACCTGGAGAGGCTCCAGAACTCAGAGCCCAGTGCTCCCCTGGCTGGCCTGGAGAAAATGGCAGGCAGTGAGAACGGAACCAACTTCCGCTTCACCCGCTTCGTGGAGGACAGCAAAGAGATCGTCACAAGTTAAAGCAGCTGGGCTGGAGACATAGCATTCATTCCTGTTCAGAATGCGACCTATGGTGGCCTCCTACTCCTTGCCCAACACCCCCCCCCAACGTGTCCCTTCCTTCTGTTCCCCAGATCTATGAACTACAACATTATGAAGACATTCTTTTGTACCTTGTTCAACTTTAGAGTTCTAAGAAAGCTTATTTATTAGTGATATAACCTTGCTTTGCAAACAGAATGCAAGCGTTAACTTTGGTCTTCTGTATTTTGGACTAAATACTAATTGACTAGAGTGCTGTAAACTTGCTGTAACATTTATGGCAATTGCAAGTTGCCCTGCTAGGCAGTTGTAATCTGGCATTAACTTATTTTCTATATCCAGTTTAATATGAATCTGGTGTTGATGCAATGCCTCGGTGATGCATTAGATCTCTAATAAAGTCTGTATATACACGTACACTTTGATCCTGCTGGAAAATTTTATCAGCAAACACATTGTCTAATCTTTCAAAACAGATTTAAGGAAAGGACTGAAAGTACAGACTGAACAGTGTGGTTCTTTGAAAGGTTTGGTTTTTTAATTTTTATTCTAAAATTCAACCTGTTTTGTTTTGTTTTGTAGATTTAACCATTTCCATTTGGAACTGCTATTTGTCTTGTGCTTTTTACTTGAGTCGTCTTCAATGTCAATAAGTTTCTGTACAGTAATAAGCACGCAGAATTCTTTAGAGAAAAAGAAAACAAGTGTTGTTTTGGTAGTTGAAACTGAGACGTAACATTTTGCCTTGTAGGTATATTCACAATAGAAAATGTGTGCTGGAATTTCACAATGCTGCTAAGTATAGCATCTTGAACAACCTTCAGTGGAGAAAATGTAGATGCTCTTGTATATACAATAAGAAATATCACTTTCATTAAAATGTACATATGTTCCTTACAAGAGCAAATGCTTCTTCTTGATCAAGAGAGCAGGTATAGTGTTTGTTTATTTTGTATTAGGTATGGAAGAAAAAAATTGGACTGTTACATGCACTTTCTTGGAAAGTTGAAAGGAAAGCGGGGGAGGGGGGTCCAATTTCTTTAACATTTAATACTTACTAACAGCAGAGATACTGTAATTTTACTCAAGTAATCAAATACATTTTTTTTTTTGGAACAGATAAAACAAAATAATGTGTCTGTGTTTTTAGAGTGCATTTCTATTTAGCTAGGCCCCTAAATGCATTTTCACTATTCCCCAGGTAGCGGTAAATTGTGTATGTGAGTGTGTAACTCTCTTTAAATGAGGAATTGTAAAAGGCAAAACAGAAACGAGTTTGCATGGGCCTGCGTTTTCTTTTATTTTTAAATTTGGAGGAGGCCCTAGATATTTTCCCAGTATCCATGACTCATTTAGGAATGAATTTTATAGACTCCACTTGCTCCCCACCCCCAGGAAAAATGAAAAAATGAAATGACATAAAAAGATGTTGTCGGAGGTTTTATCCCAACAGGTAAGTTTCTTTTAAGCCAGATATTTATGCCGATTTAGATTTCACTTTTATTATTTTGGTTTTATTTCTCTTAATACAGTCACGTTTTTTTCAGGCAGCTGAGAGCCACATTGCTGGGGAGTTCCTGATGCTGCGGGGTTATATAACCTAACTCAAACTGGGCCTCAACCCAGAGAGGTCAACATGTTCTTTATTTAATTGGTCTTTCAGGCATTTAAACGCACATGCATATTTGAAAGAAAAAGTCTATTGGAAAGGTTATGTAGAATCAGCTTGAATACTTCATCATGCAAATTCAATGGGATTCTTCCCCTCTCCCTGCTATTCTGGGGCGGAAGGGGGAAACAGGGTTTCTTCCTCCTGATCACTGACTAAATGGAAGCTGTGTCCAGAGGGGTCGCCGATTTTATTTTTATTTTTTTGTTTTTATGTTTCGGGGAGGTGGTGAACCGCAGCAGCCGGCGGTTGTGTCCAGGTAAGGTAGAAAGTCTCGGGCCGCTTCCTGCAGAAGTTTCCACCAGGGCTCGTGCCACCCGGGGCCGCTCTCCTAGACCCTGCCGTTAGACCTCGGTGCGGAGCGGGCGCCCTCAGCCCGTGCTCCGCCTCCCGGCCCAGGCCCCGCGTTCGGGAAGGTGGGCGCTGACCTGGACCGGGACAGTGCAGAGGAAGGGGTGGGAGCCCCAGAGGCAGAGAGGGAGGCGGCGGGGTGGGCGTGGGGGGTGCGCCACGTAATGAGTGATGCTGAGAATCACCCCGGAGTCTCGGCACCCGAATATTTAGAGGGACAGATTTCTCGGTCTCGCCTCTCCCGTCCCCTCCCCTCCGCCCCAGGAGTGACATTTTCCTCAAGAGTGGGGACACGGATTGAAGGCCGGAATTCCAGCCAGAAGCTCTTGTTCTGCGCGGGCCAGATGGAGCGGTTTCCGCTGCGTAGACCAAGTCCACACCTTCTCATCGCTGGGCGTGGCGAGGAGGGGCTGCCCCGGGCTGCACGCACTTTGTACCCAGGCCCTTGTCCCGTGGGCGGACCGTGCACCGAGGGACAGGGCCTGGGGACCTCCGAGGAAAGTGGTCCGAGGGTCTGCTGGCCACCGAGAGGGGCAGGCTTCGACAGTGCCCCCCTGGCGCACACGCCAGGCTCCTCGCCCGCCCTCTCCAAAGGGCCCAGGTGGCTGCCCCGCGACGCCATCCACCAAGCGTCGGACTGCAGCTGGATCCCTCTCTCCAAAGGTCGCCGCCGCCGGGTCCCCGGGGCTCCCGCACGCAGGGCCTGGCGCGAAGGTCACCGCCCAGCACCACCTCGGGCTGCGCGTCCATTTCCAAGAGGCAGGCGGTGGAGAGAGGGGAGCCCGGGCACCGTGTTCCCTCTTCCTCTCATCGCCAACCTCCTACCCTTCAGTGGTTTCTGAAAGTGAGTTGCGAGAGCAAAAGTCACTTTTCTTTCGCGAGGTGTCAAAAGCGTTTAGGAAAAGGTCTGAGGGTCCCACTGTCTCTTTCTCCCCCGGCTCTCTCTCTCTCTCCCTCCCTCTCCCTCCCTCTGTCCCTCCCTCCCTCCCCGCTTTTGTCCCTGCCTATCCATTTATTGATTGACTATCGTTCTAATCTATTGATCATTACCTGCCCATTCATTCCCCTTTCCATCCATTTCTAAAATAAGAAATCGCCCTCTGCCCTGCTTCTCCTCCCAGTGTGGAAAACACACTCAGCCTTTGGACTCGGCCCGCAAAACAGAAGTAGATTTACATTTATAAAGCAACAGGGTTGAGGTGAAGGCAGCCGAAGGGCACGCACCCCCTCCTCACCTACTCCCCCACCCTCGCCCCACTGGAGGTGCCCCTTGGTGATATTGGAATCGCGGAAAACCGAGTTCACTGAATTAAGGAAGGATTGTTGCTGCAACTAAGTTCACAGAATTTTTAACTAAAAATACTCAGTTTGGTGACAGTTTCCCCAGCTTTTTTTTTTTTAAATGGGAATTTAAAAAATACAGAACAGCACAGAGAAGAATTTAAGAAACGCTTTGTGCGTATCACTCAAAATTTACAAAAGTTAGGAACTTGTAGTTTATTCGAGTTTGTTTTTTCCTCCACCCCTCCCCAGGAGCTACGTTTCCTGTTCTTCCTCTCTGCCTAGGTAGCTATCATTCTCTCATTCTCTTCTCTGTCTTTTCTTCCTTGTGTTCCTTCGTGCTTTTTCTTTTTCCTTCCCCCTCCAACTCCACTACTTCTCCTTTTCCACCCACCCTCATGGGCTTCCTTCTTTCTGGAAAATATACTTGAAAGAGCAGTTTGGTAATTGACAGGGACCTGAGGAGGGAGAGAGAGAGAGAGGAGAGAGAGAGAGAGAGAGAGAGAGAGAGAGAGAGAGAGAGAGAGAGAGAAACAATACTGACTCAAGCTGCCCGAGAGGATCCTCCCTGCGGGGTCTGGGTGGGGGAAGGGTGGGTAGCTCAGGGGAGGATTCCTGAAGATCAGCTGGAGATGCCTGAAGGTGACTTTAGGCTTAGAGTTTTCACATCCCAATCTTCACAGGCTAGGTCTATTCAAATGGCTTTTTAGGGAGTGGAGGGAGGATAATTTTCTTTTCTTTTTTTTTAATTAGAAGAAAAAAAATCTTCAAACAAAATTCTAAATAATTTGCAGTTGACATAAATTTCTAGCAGTAGATTATTTGCTTATTGTTTTTGGCATGTCGTGAATGTCAAGAATGAGAGAACTTAAAAAGAAGAAGAAGAAGAAGAAGAAGAAGAAGAAGAAGAAGAAGAAGAAGAAGAAGAAGAAGAGGAAGAAGGAGGAAAATCTCCCACTCTGTTAAAACTTAGCAGTCCTGTTAAAAAAATAAAGCAATGGATTCTTTACTACGAGTTACACACTCCACCCCAAGTGAAACAAATGTCAGAGGGGGTAACAAAGTGGAAAAAAGCGTAAAGTGAATTTCAAAGGGCTCCACAGTAAAGCGCAATCTGAGATTCACAGAAAAGTAGAGACGGATAAGACAGGAATTAGGTCATCTCGTCCAGACCCCAGGAAATATGTCTAGATCAAAGCCTGCTCTGTTAGAATAAACAAAACAGGACCCATTGCGCCCTACCAATATTTTCATCTCGGTGCTAAGAGCTGCTAATCTCACCAGCTTTATTTGGTGAAAGGGGGTAAAAATTACAACTGTAAAAATGACAAAGTAAAAAATGTCCTCTCAACCCTTAGAGGAAGATAAAGATTTAGATTTGAGCTAAAAAGTAACAAGATCCAGGCCCAGATCAACACAAACTTCCTGGAATTTTAGCACTAAGTAAATTATCTAATCCTAGCCATTGTTCCCTCCCTGCCGCCACCCCTCGCCCCCACTCATCTTGTGCACCCCATGCAATTGAGTATGCCAGATGATTTACATTAAAAATTGGTTAAATTTTAACTGCAGTCTGAGGACATTGCAGGAGGCCTATGGGGTTCACTTCTTTTGCATTTCTTAAAGACCTACTCGTTTTCTGTCCTCCACCAGCCCAAGTGTGGCCTGCCCCCCAGGCTGGACTTTCTTGTGTGGATGCTTTGTTTAAGCCCAGTCTTAAAGTTTGGGCTCTCCACTGTGAAGGGCAGATGAACAGAGGCCTGGCTTCTATGTCCCATCAGCCTAGCTTTGGGTACACACCATCCGTCAGCTCGTTGATATTTTCGCAGCTAAGCTGAAAGACTGTGTAAGTACTTGGTAAGGCTTTCTTTCACCACCAACTTGATGGCCTTCAACCAACGGCCAGGGAACATTCGATAGGTAGAAACATCTACAAAAACGGACAGGAAATCCCAGAGAAGGAAAATTCGCCCAGGCTAAATCCCAGGGTTGTAGTTCCTTACTGAGCCTGGCTTCCTCTTAACTGTTTAAACATACGACTTGGCTCCTCTTGTGTTTCTGTGTCCATTTGAGCTCAAGTTGAACAAAGACTTGTGGGCCGCGTGTCAACCCGGCTCCAGTGCTTTCGGAAGCCAGGGACGATGACGACAGGGATGGGGAGTGTGATCGGCCTTTCTGAAGGCAGCCAGGAGCAGACCATTTTCTGTGTGTGGCCCCTGCCTGTTCACTTTGCCAAGGGCAATTCCAGGATAGGCTTTTTGCTTACATTCTGTGGAGGGTTTGAAGACAAGTGAAACTGCATTGGTGGCCACATACAAGTCGATCCTTCCTTACAAGACCCAGAGTGGGACCTAGTCCAGCTGCACCAGGCACAGCTGAATCCTGACACGGTGCAGTCTGTTAGGTCATGGATGCCCGGAGACCAGGAGGCCACATCATCTTGTCACAGCGACATTCAGGATGAAGTCCTGGAAGTCACCTGGAAAGATGGGTAAACATGGTAGACCCCCACTCCTGATGTTAGAGGCAGACAAAACATAACTGTATACTAACCAGCCTGCAGACCTGCTTCCGTATTCAGAAGCTGGAATTCTCTCTGTCTTACCTTGCTTGTGATTCATAACAATCCATTTAACAGATGACAAAACTAAGACCCTGAGAGCAGAGAAGGAACATTTGGACACCAGGAGACCTGGAGCCTGAATGCCAACTTTGGTCATTTGGTGATCATTGCCTGATCCATGGTACCATTCCCCAAACTATGCCGCAAGAGGTTAAACTTCCATCAATAGTCTCCAGTAGCTTCCTTCAAACTCTTGTCATGTTTATAACCACATTAGTGGAATACCACCTTTACTTTTAGTTATTTAATAATTTAAGCACACTTCCTTTTTAAAACTTAAGTATATTTATCTTAAAAGGAATGGGAAATACTAAATTCATTTATCTCCAGTAGTCTTTCTAATCCTGTGCAAGAGAAACCCTTAGAGGGCAGAATGGGTTTCCACTGGTGATGTACCCAAATTCAAAGTAATCTGAACAAATCCTGCCGCTTCACTCAATGACACCCTTTCTGGGTTCTCTTCTAACCAGCTATCTTTTATTTCAGACAAGTGTGAGGTCTGTGGGTCTTAAAGAGTTTTATTTAAGCCCCATCTCCCCATGCCCTAACCCGTCAATACACATCTTTGACCTGGCCCAAAGTTTTCCAAACTGCAGGATGTGGCCCAATAGTACATTATGAAATCAGTAGAATATATCATCACTAGGACTATTTTTTTAACGTAATAGAACAGAAAATATCGGAGTATATCACATGTAGTAAGGGTAAGTGGTATCTTGTGAAGTTTGTTTCAGTTTTATATATGTGTGCATTGGACATGGTGTCATTTTTAGCATGAGTTGCCATCAAAAAAGTTTGGGCCGGGTGCAGTGGTTGAGGCCTGTAATCCCAGCACTTTGGAAGGCTGAGGCTGGTGGATCACCTGAGGTCAGGAGTTCAAGACCAGCCTGGCCAATGTGGTCAAACCTTATCTCTTCTAAAAATACAAAAGTTAGCTGGGTGTGGTGGTGGATGCCTGTAATCCCAGCTACTCAAGAGGCTGAGACAAGAGAATCACTTGGACCTAGAAGGGAGAGGTTGCAGTGAGCCAAGATCGTGCCATTACACTCCAGCCTGGGTGATAAGAGCAAGACTCCATCACAAAAAAAAAAAAAAAAAAAAAAAAAAAAAAAAAAGTTTGAAACGGACGAAGTGCAGTGGCTTATGCCTGTAATCCCAGCACTTTGGGAAGCCAATGTGGGCAGATTGCCTGGGTCCAGGAGTTTGAGACAAGCCTGGACAACATGGCGAAACCCTGTCTCTACAAAAATTACAAAAATTAACCAGGTGTGGTGGCATGTGCTGTAGTCCCAGCTACTCAGGAGGCTGAGGTGGGAGGATCCATAGAATCCAGGCGATGGAGTTGCAGTGGGCTGAGATCACACCACTGCACTCTAGCCTTCGTGACAGAGCAAGACCCTGTCTCAAAAAAATTTTAATAAAACCAAAGTTTGAAACATAAAGAATGAGACATGTTTGAGATGATGGCTATGCTAATTACCCCTTTCTGATTGCTATCATCGTATGTATCAAAACATCACTATATACCCCATATATACAATTATTACTGATCATTTAAAGACTAAAAGCTATCGTAATATTAATTCTTGGTTTAAAAAAGTTTGAAAGTTATTGACAAAGACTCTGAAACATGATTATCTTCTCTGTTTCTCAGCTGAAACACAGAACCAGAATCCTCAGAGAGGGGGCTGGCACTGAGGTTTTTGAGGATGGACAGAGAAGGGATGAAGGCACAGGAAGACGAAGTAGATTCCCGAATCTCTTTGCCGTCATTCATCTACTATGCAGAGTTTTCTAGCGGCTGCTTCTGCGAGAAAAGAGAGGCCAGCGCTGGCTCCTGGTGCTGGCTTGTGTGTGTTTGCCCCTCATAGGCTGCTTCCACATGGAGGATTTTAATAGCATTTCGTCGTCAAGGGGATTTCTCCTTAAACACACACATGAGTGCAGAAGGGGAAACAAAAACCACGAGCAGGAAAGCTTAATGACTGCCCAAGCAGCACTGTCTCTTTAAGATCCCTCCCCCACTGGTAATTGGGCCCAGCTCTTGGGTAACTAAGATAACATCCCTCCCAAATCCTGCCATTTCTAGGCATCCTTAGTCACTGTATAACTGTGGGGTTTAATAGCCTAATGGTATAAAGTCTTAAGAAATCATTCTTAAAAGAGTCCTTTTAGAAATGCTGCTCTAATAGGGAGGCTGTCTGAGAACTTCAACAAAGATAAGATTCCAACTCTCTCTCTCTCTCTCCCTCTACACACACACACACACACACACACACACACACACACACACACACGTATTTACCTAAATGTCCAGAGCTAGGAGTGGCCAGGGAGAAACTTCCTTGGATGTATAGAGGTTGGTCTGAGTTGAAGCCTGGCTTATTTAGAATTATCCCTCTCAATCTGGGAGCAGAAGTGACTTGCCCAAGTTTAACTTGTGAGTTGAAGATCAAGATGCAGTATCTCATTCTTGCGTCTCAGTTCAGTACTTCCGGTTTAAATGATAATAAAAAGAGCCACCCTGGTAGTTCCTTTATTGGCATCGTCTCTTCAGCTTCTTTGATCCGTGCCCTTTGCCAGGCAACTTACAGTCCTTCCACACTTCCCTGCCTCTTTGGGTTTGACTGTGTGACTTGCATTGGTCAGGAAAGTGAGGTCGATGCTATGGTGTCCGGCTCTGAGCTACGCCTCAAGAAGCCTGCATGTTTCTACTTGTGCCCTTGCACCTCTGAGAAGCACATGCTGGCTGGTCTCAGGAAAAGAGTAGAAGCCCTGTGGACCAGAGCCATCCCCAGCCAATCCCAACCTAAATGTACCAGAGTGAACCCAGCTGCACAGAGCCCACCCACAGTTCTGAAGAAATAAACGGTGTTTGTTTTAAGCCACCAGCTTGGGAGTGATTCCTTATTTAGCATCATGGGGCCAGTTAACCATTTCAGTAAGATGCACTTAGCCATGACAAAGTGTCAGAAATGGTTTTAGATGCTTTATTTGAATTAGCTCATTTAATCCCTGTAACCACCACAAGAGGTAGGTGTTATCACTGACCCCATTCTATGGATAAGAAAACTAAGGCGCAGCGAGGTTAAGTGAAATGTCTAAGGTCACACACCTGGTAAGCAACAGAAATGTGAACCCAGATCACCTGGCTACAGAGCACACATGCTGGTTCTTCATCACTATGCTACTATTTTGCCCTATCCCAAGTTTTCCCAAGAAACCTGCTAACACTCCCTTCCTAACTAAACCTCAGGTCTGG